AGGGTCTCCGGGAGTAAGGAGCAAGGAGAGGCATGTGGGAGGAAAGGGGAGGCAGGAAGAGTCGTACAGACTCGAGAACATGAGGCTGAAAACTGGGTGAAGGCAAGAGTGCAGAGGCAGGTTGAGTCTGCGTTAGCTGGGATCCCCTACGCGGGCTGTGACCCGTGAAGAGGGATGATGAATTTCAAAGGAGGCTCAGTGCAGGGGCTCTTACTGGCCACTGCCTTGGTGTAGAGAGAGGAACCCGGTTGCCATTTCAGGATCTGGATCAAGCTGAGCCCCTGCTTCAGTCCCACAGGCCCAGAGGTTCCTGGTCCACAGAGGACGAAGCCACGAGAGGCAACACACTCACTGTGAATGTGCAGACGGTCAAGACAGCTCAGTGACACAGGACACAGCATAATGACAACTAGAAAAAGACCACAGAAGGGTGCATTGCGACCAAAGGAGCGAGCGGGTGGAGGAGAGGGCTGAGAGAGAGGTGCCAGGAAGAGGCCTTGTGCCCAGAGGAAAATGAGAGGGCAGAAGTGAGTGACCAACTGGTGGCTTTTGGAGTCAAATATTTAGATACCGCAGGAGAACAAAGGTGAGCATTGCTGCAGATGACCTGTGTCAGTAGGCCAGGAATCTGGTGGAGACCTGGGAAATGATCATCTTTAATGCAGGAAAGAATAAAGCATTCAGTAGAGGATACAAGATGCTGCCCATTAGGTTGGCAAGTTTAGCAGAGATAGATGATGAAGAAAAAAATGCCCACTGGAGCAGGAAAAATTGACTACTACAAAAGAAATAACCAGTAAGAAGGAAGCCCTGGTCAGGGAGTAGTGAGATATGGTTTAAGAAGCAGGGAGAAAGAAAAATAAGGGAGTAGGCATAATGGTGCAGGCCTGTAATCCCAGCACTCGGGAGGCTGAGGCAGGAGGATCACCATGAGTTCAAGGCCGGCCTGGACTACACAGTGAGACCTTGTCTCAAAAAAAAACAATCGAAAGAAAGAAAGAAAAGGAAAACTAAAGGAGTGCGGATACAGGGTTGTAGATTAAAAAGAGTGAAGGAGTGGAATGAAAATTCAAACAAAAGTCAAGGGCCTGGCCTTGACCCTCCAAAGGCACAGGCACTGGGAGTGGAAGACAGCACCAAGAGTAAGAGGGCAGAAAAATGGGGCCCAAGAGAACCAAGGCAGTGGCACGTTCCTTAAGGTAGGGACGGCTGTTGATGCTGAGGCCAGGGAAGAATCAAAGAAAGGCTGAGAGGCCGCACGACATCACAAACAAGGGAGGAACAGCTGCCGGGGCAGGGAGCGGAGAACAGAGAGGTGATAATGCAGGGACTCCCGGACTGATGGTAGTTCACAGCAGGGTGGTTCGGGCTCTTTCCTCACCCTCTGCTGCCCTGCTCTCCCTGCCCGGGCAGCCAGCCTTGTCTCTCCAGGGTCACAGGCAGAAGGAGGGCCCCATCTGTAGTCTTCAGCTCTGTGTGTCCCTGACTCACCCCGGCCTGCGGCCCACCCCAGTCAGTGGTGTTTGGAAACTTCCCTGGGTGCTCAGGTAGTCAGTCAGCCAGTAGAGCTGCCCCTGTTCAGAGGTCTGAAGCTTACACAATTTGGGGCTTCCTCCTTAAGAAAAAGAACCCAAAATTACAAATACAGAATTAGATACCAATGAGATACAAATACAAAATTAGAGAATCCGTATGTGTGAGAAAGAATGAAAAAGGAAATAACGAAAACTACAAATATTAAAAAGAACAAGTACAATCACCACAAAACCTAGGAAAGCAGCGTAACGTTAACTGTGCGACAGGCCTCTGTAATATTTTTGATTGTGTCCTGGTAGTAGGCAGAACACTGTCCTCCAAGGATGCCTGCTTCCGGACCCACACAGTTTGTGGACAGACATGTTTCCTGACAGAGCAAAAGGTTGAGGCCCATGTGCTGAGGGCACAGACCAGCAGAGGGAGGGGTGATGAGCTATCCACGTAGACAGGACTTAATCCCATGAATCTTAAAGTCAGGGAAACTTTCCTGGAGTTGCTGAGAGAAAGAAATGTGACCTGGAAAGCAGTCAGATGCTGGGTAGCTGGCTTTGAAGACGGAAGAGGAGGCCCTGAGCCAGGGAAGGCAGTGCATCTAGAATCTGGAAAGGTAGGAAACTGCCAGAAGAAAGCCCCTCTTGGTTGCTTTGCGAAGCTGGGACTGCTTTGCTCATAGGGGACCATGTCCTGCCTCTGCAGCACCATCACTAACCTTGCCTAACTGGAAGAGTGGAGGCCGTTCGTTTTATTTCTGGTAGTTCTGAAGCGGGGAGAGTGGACTTCGGCAGGAAGACTGGGGTAGAGCAAGCGGATTGGATAAGAGGCCATCAGATAACCTCTTCAGGCCAGGATCAAGGAAAGCGTTTGACAGACAAAGGTATGACTTCCTCTCCTCCCCCATCAGAAGAGGACAGGTATGTTAACATTTGTGAGGCCACTGCGTGAGGGGACAAATTGTACACACGAGTGGCCACAGCCTGCCGTCACTGTGCCTCTGAGGAGACTCTTCCAAACACTGCAGCCTGCCCTCATGGAAGGAGGCTTCTCCACAGGCCCAGCCCCATGGCTTTTGGGGGTGGGGTGGGAGGCTCCTAGTTGGGCCAAGTGCAGGGAGCTGAAGAAAGGGTCACAGGGTTTCTGGGGGCTCTGAGGGATCTGTGATTGCGTCCCCCATGGACAAGTGACCCACTGAGCCATTTCAGTCTTCTCCTAGTGAGCCTGATGTCACAAACACAGACAGGGACAGATGAAAGGCCAGCTGGCTGCACTGCTGCCTAGGGGTTGCCATAGTCAAGGCTGTACTCAAAAACAAGGCGAGCCGAAGGTTTCCTCCCTTCCAAAGCAGCCACACCAGCAAGGGCGAAGTCTGACAGTGCGGACTGGACTCAGCGGCGCCTTCAGAGACGCCTTTGGGTCCGTGGCCCAGGTCCACTCCAGCAACACCTTTATTCGTTCATCTGAAGTGAGCACAGCCTGCTGGGACCACAAGACAGAGCCGGCGACTGAGTGCTTGTGGTGCAGGGCTGTCTGCAGGGAATAAGTGCACGATTTTCTTATCTAAATGCCTAATCCTGTCTTCTAAGAGCTTGTTAGATTTGGAGGATTGCACAGAATAGACTATTGATGTTGACTGTGGGATACATTTTTTAATGAAAAGGGCATCACTTGCCAACAAGCACCTGAAGATACGTCCAACATCCCTAACTATTAGGAAAATGCAAAGCAAGACCACAGTGAGGTACCATTTCACTGCATCAGGATGGCTCCTATCACAGAAATAGAAGATAACATGTCAACCCTTGTGCTGTTGGTGAGAATGTAAAATGCTACAGCTACTATAGAAAATGGTACTGCAGCTCCTCAAAATGCTGAAAATAAAGACTATCATGTGATCCAACAGCACATCGGGGCATATATGTATGTCCAAAATATTCAAATCACGGTCTTGAAGAGATATTTGCATACCCACAGCAGCATTATTTACAATAGCCAAAGGGTGGGAACAATGCAAAGTCCATCTGCAGATGAATGAATAAGGAAAATATGATGTACGGAATAGAATGTTACTTCGCTTTGAAAATGAAATAAGTTCTGTAATATGTGACAGCATATGCACCTTGAAGACGTCATGCTAAATGATAAATGAAATGAGTCAACTGCAAACAACTACTACATAATTTTACTGATGGGAAGTGTGGTAGCCACTCACAGGCACAGCAGAAAGAAAGTTGGCCGGGGAAGGGAAGGGAGAGTTTTTGTTTAATGAGTATAGAGTTTCAGTTTGACAAGCTGAAAAAACTCTACACTTAAAAAAGCTCAAAATGATAAAATTTTGTTATGTGATTCTTGTCATTTAAATAAAGGAGAACATCCCTAAGTAAATGTTACCAAATGTCTAAAGGATTTTTTTCTTTTTTTTCTTTTTTCTTTTTTTTTTTTTGGTCTTTTTAAGACAGGGTCTCTCTATACAGTTCAGGCTGGCCATGAACTCACTTTGTAGTCCAGGCTGGTCTTGAACTTGCAACTATCCTCCTGCCTCAGCCTCCCAAGTGCTGGAATTACATGGGTGTGCCACAGAATGTTTGAAGGGCAGGCAGAATGTTAGGCTGATCTGTGCGCCCACTGTCTCAGGCCTGCCATGCGCATACGGCCGGGGGCTTTCAGACTGGAGGCAGCTCGGGGAAGCCAGGCAGCAGGAAGAGGATCCAGGAGCAGAAGCTTCTGTCCCGGGAAGCAGCCTGAGGGGCAGCAACAGGGGTTGTGAGCACTGCAGTAAGGAACAGGAAGATAGGTCAGTTCAGCCGCATGCCATAATGGGTGGCCTAGTCTTGAATCCCTAGGAGGCCAGGGTTGGGCAGTTGAGAGTTTTGTCCTCTTTCTGGCCCATGTATGAGTCACAACTGCCATGAGGTACCTAGAACCTGAGATCATAATCTCAGAGAGTAATTCTCCAAGTGGGACTTCCCTTGCCCCCACATCAGTACAGTACTGGGATTGAATCCAGGGTCTTTGCACTGAGCTACATCCCAAGCCCTTTATTATTATTTTGTTTTGAGACAGTCTCACTGGGGCTGGGGATTTAGCTCAGCTGCAAAGCACCTGCCTGGCAAGCACAAGGTCGTGAGTTTGATTCCTGGTTACCAGAAGGAAAACAAAAAACAAACAAACAAACAAAAAACAGCGTTCTTTGGGCCTGGGGATTTAGCTCAGCGGCAAAGCACCTGTCTGGCAAGTGCAAGATTGTGAGTTCGACTCCTGGTACCAAAAGGAAAAAAAAAAAGTGAAACAGTCTCACTAAATCACTAAGTTGTCCAGGCTGGGCTTGAACTCATGATCCTCCTGCCTCAGCCTCCTAGTGTGCTGGGATTTCAGGCATACCTAGCTATGGCAAGCTTCTTAAAATGCAAATCCTGACTCAGTAGGTGTGGAGGCCTAGGACCCTGCATTTTGGACAGGATCCCAGGAATGCTGAGTGTGCTGGTCTGCAGTTCATACTCACAACAGCAAGGGCCTGAAAAATCCAGCTAACCAGACAGAAAATTGGCAGTGCCCAAGAACAATGTGATGGAGAAGGTGGTAGTGTCAATAAACACATGGTTCTGTTTCTAGAATGTAGAGGAAGTAACCAAACTGATGTGGGAGATGACTCCCACATCATAAACTGTGCTTTGTGGTGAGAAGCTCCTTCCCAAGAAAAGGCATGGGGAGGCCTGGGGAGGGTAGGCAGCGCCTGTAGTCCTCAAGTCATATCTAAGAGCTCTGCAACCAGGTCACTGAGATCAAGCAAGCAAAGTGGGCAGCTTGGAGCTGAAGCAACATATTCTAAGTGAAGGGGAAGGTAGCGAAAGAACCATGATCTTAGGGACAGAAAGTGGTGGAGGCAGCAGGACTGCGTGTGTGTATGTGTGTGTGTGTGTGTGTGTGTGTGTGTGTGTGGTATACATGTATAAATATGCACATGCATGTATTTACCTACATATAAATTACAGAACTGTCCAGCATGTGAGAAAGAGAGAAAAGTCATAAAACAAAAAAACAATATACAGAATTTCCAAAAAGTTAACAACTGAAACTTACAAAAATATTGGCTTTGTCTTAGTCAGGCATGGTGGCACATGCCTGTAATCCCAGGACTTTTGGAGGCTAAGGCAGGAGGATGGCAAGTTTGAGCCAAGCTTGAACAACTTAACTTAATGGGACCCTGTCTCAAAACAAAAAATAAAATTTTATAAAAAGGAGAAAAAGGGCTAGGGTTGTGGCTCATTGTGAGGACCCTGAATTCAATCCCCAGTACTGCCAAAAAAAAAAAAAAAAAAGTTTGCTTTGCCCAATAAAGGAAGAAGATTGAAAAATTTATCAACCCACATTTACACAGGATTTCAAAATCATGACCTGGAATGATGGTGTTGTGAGACCCAAGGGGCAGGACTTAACCCCAGCCCATCAGGGCAATGTGGGTCTTTTATTTCTTTTCATCTCCTTGACAAATTAGGAAAATGGGGGTTCTGAGCTGTGCTAAGTTGAGGGAAGCAGTAAGTGACAGACTTCCTTTGCTTCTTTAGTGCTTCTTTCCATATACTATGTATACAGATATACTATGTTAAATTTTGTAAACAGATATACTGTGTTAGTTAAATTTTGATATACTATGTTAGTTAAATTAACAGATTAAACTAACAAAGTTAGCTAACATGTTATACTGTGTAAACAGATATACTGTGTTAGTTAAATTTTGATCACAAAATTCATGGGGTGAGATCACAGAGTGAAAATTCCTTGGGAATGGCTCAGTGTTGTGAACAAAGCCCTGCTCCTTGTTGGCCATGGCGTGGCACGGGCTCTGAGGAAACGCAGGTGGCAGCAGCCGAGTTTCATGAATCCCAGAGAGGTGGGCTGCTACCTCCAGGCAGCCGTCAGTGAAAGCTGACCTTTGGGCTCTCTGGGATTCAGTCCTCAGAGCTGAGGGGTCAGAGGGTTTGTGACTGCTCGGACCAGGAGTGGCAGCTGGTGTCAGCTCCAAAGTACACCCTGCACCCCTCTGCAATATTTAACAGGGCACAGTGACCTCTGACTCAACTGCCCGTCTCTTTCCCGTGCAGGTACAGGGCTGTTATTGCCTTCGGGTTTTATGCTTTGCCTCCTTGTTTGGAATTCACACAGACATAGGAGAATTATGAGGAATTTGGACCTGTCTCTTTCTCTCAGTTTTCACTGGGAAACTCAGTCAACTGATGCACGCTGGTAGGTGGGGGAGCAGGGGGTGACGGCGGGACGCTCCACCCAGTCTCCTTCTGTCACACCACTGAAAGGTGCAAAAGGAGCTCACGCATTCCATGTGCCTGCATCGACCCCAGCATGCGAGAACCACGTGCTGACAGCGCGGGATACAGAGCACGGCAACCATGCCGGGTTTGGTGGCACAAATCTGTAATCTCAGCACCCTGGCAGGCTGAGACATGAGGATCACAAATTCAAGGCCAGTCTGAGCAACTTAACAACTTAGCCAGACCCTGTCTCAAGATAAAGAATGAAAAAAGGGCTGGCCTTGTATCTCAGTGTGAAGACCCTGGGTTCAACTCCCAGTACCACCAAAAAAAAAAAAAAAATTGATTTTGTTTTCTTCCCACCCCCCACATCACTGTTCTTTTTAATGGGAAAGTCATGTGTCCGCCTTCCCAGGGTCCTAGTGACTCTGAGGTGTCCCTCCTTCCATGACAATGGAAGAAGCTATCTAAGAAAGAGAGGATATTTGCTAGAAAATGAAGGAAAGGATAAATAAAAAGAAGCAACAGAAGATAGATGCTAGGAAGTAGGAAGATAGATCTTTTTCAAAGGGTAACAGAACCACTGGCAGGAGCGGGGAGGGAAAGGGTTGAGAAAAGGAATTAAGACGTGCTATGTACATGTACCAACTCCCTAAGATGAATACAGTCATTACATGCTGCAAACATGTACTAATACAGAAAATGATCTGAAAGAAATGAAGAAACCTAAAAAAGTTCTCCCTAAAATATTGAGAATTGCTGAGCTGAAGACCCTTAAACTTAGAGATGCTCTGCTTTTCCTCTGTCTAAAAACAGGACAGAAAAATTACTAAGATAGAGTTTTTGTATCTCTGCTCTGCTTTTCCCTCCTAAAGACAGAGTGTAAATCCTCCTTTGCTGGAGACAACATTGTATCCCTTCAGAGGCACCAATAAGGCCGGATGAATCTGGGGCAGATGCTGGTACCTCTCAGTTCTTCCTTTGCAAGCCTGAGGCAGGATAACTGCTTGTACCTTTGTCTTATTACTACTCTAAGATTTTATAGTCCGTTGTTAAAATAGTATTTGAGGCAGAGTTCTAAGCCACTGCTTGGAGGGTTACTTTCCAGGGAGAGTTATCCTCTTCCTGTGCAGTATGTGGGATGTTAACAAATTTGCTTGTTTTCCTCCTGTTAATCTGCCCTTTGTTAGAGGAGCATCCCAACTATGAATTCACAAGGACTAAGGTAATATTACCATTTTTTCTCCTTTAAAAATAAGATGAGGAAATTAATACATGCAGAAAAGTGTTTCATAAAACTTGATAGACATTCATGATTTTAAAATTTTTGGTTAACCAGAAAGAAGAGAACTTCTTTAACTTGGTACAAGGTAGATACTAAAAACTTTTACTATACCTCTTATTTGTTAGAAAATAAGTAATTCTAACTAGAATAATTCTCATTAAAAGTAAAAAGTAGAAAATTTTATTGTTGGTACTCAGCAAGGTATTTAGAGAAAATCCTACTGATATAATTCACCTAAAAATACCAGATAATTTTTAAAATTTTGTTTTTAATGTGGAATTGAGCTGGTAGGAAAGTAAGGGAATTCTCAAGAGACCAAAATGTATGAGATACACTAAGTCAGAGAAGTTAGAAAGGGGAGGTACAGATTGTCTTGGGCTTGTCTCTGTTTCTAGCACCCCACACCCCGGGTTTTAATAGGAGGATAGGGGACAAAGCCTGGAGCCAACAGTGGGAGTAAGAGGTCAGATCACAGAAGTGGCACAATCAGGATGCCCTAAGGACGATGGCCATGGAGGGAGACAGTTGTTCAAGGCCTTCCCAGCCTTGGTTGTGAGTGAAGCAGGTAGAAAATGTTCCTTTGAAAATCCCTAACAAGAAGCCAATAATCAGATAAGCTTGAATTAGGATTTGTATTACCTGTGTGCCTGGCAGCCCCCAAGTTCATGGTGATACTGTTCCCAGACCCCTGGCAAGAACACATATAAACCCTCTGGAGAAAACCAGTTTCAACCTCACACTCAAAGAACCCTGCAGAAAAGTTTCTAAGAAATACGAGTTCAAAATAGGAAATAAAAATGGATTAAAACTTGGAACATGACAAGAATACCCAGGATGTCTAAGTTCATATTTCCCAGAATTGTGCAGCCTACACCTTCCACAGGTGTGTGCGTGTCAGTTCAGGGACTACCTTCTGTTGGGCTGTGGCTCAGCATTGTGCTAAGGGGCAAGAAAAAGGAGGAAAAGAAGAGAGCTTAAGCTGTGTCCGAAAAGAAAGAACAAAACTCTCACTGTATATAGATAATACAGTTATCTGGAAACTCCAAAAGAATGAACTGGTTAATGTTTACAGTTATTAAGAGAATTCAATAAGCAAACTGATAAAATATTTTTTTAAAAAATAGATTTCCTATATACCAGGAAAAAGTCAATTAGAAAAGAGAAAAGTTATAGCAGAAAGTGGTTTAAGTAGTAGTGGGGCACTGTGGCACACACCTGTAATCCCAGCACTCAGGAGGCTGAGGCAGGAGGATCGTTGTGAGTTTGAGGCCATCCTGGGCTACAAAGTGAACTCAAGGCTGGCCTGAACAGCATAGTGAGACCCTGTCTCAAAAGACAAAAAAAAAAAGAAAGAAAAAAAAATTGGCTTAAGTAGAATGAATAAATACAAAAGACCAGAGAATGAAAAACGGACATGTGTAAGTGGTGATTGCTACATGACGGAGGTAGGTACCCTTCCAACTAAATAGAAAAAAGATGAATTTTCCAATCGATGGTATTGGAATAATTTGTTGAAACAAATTCCAGGGGAACAAAAGAATTATTATTATTTTTTTTACAAATATAACAGTATTACAAGAAAGTATGTCAAAATACCTTTATAATCTTAAAAGTTGAGAAAATTTTCTTAAATAAGCCTCAATGAGAAAAATACACAAAGGATAAAGTTGATAAATTCAACCACACCAAGATAACCATAAGCACAACAGTGAAATCTTTTGTGAACTAAAAATATAAGCAGAGTTTAAAAAGAAGTGAGGGAGGGAATATGTATTACACATGCATCAAAAGGGTAGCGTCAAGAATAAGTAATGAACTTCTACAAGTGAGTAAAAAACTGAATGTAAAATGAACTAAGGATATGATTTGACAATGTAAAAAAAGGAAACACAATGATCTAGAATAATGTAGAAAGAGTTTTCCACCTCAGTAGTAATCAGGGAAATTAAAATATTAAAATAATAGATTACCACTTCCATTCATCCAAGTAGAAAAAATAAACTATTGGATAAATAACAAGCAGCGTGGAGTGTGGGGAGGACATAAATTGGTACAGGTGTAGTGGATGCTGCTTGATAGTATTAAAATTGAACCTATTTCAGTCACATGTCCTATGATGTAGAGACTCAGTTTCTTAGTATCTCCTCCAGAGATGAGCCTCACTTAAATAGGTGTTCCAGCAGACATAAACGGTGAGGCTCATGGGAAAGACTAAACATTGGAAACAGCCTTAAGATCTGTCAGAATGGAAATGTCTAAATACAAGGATGGTATACAGTGAAATATTACATAGCAGTTAAATGAGGTAGCACTCTAGAATAGTTTTGGGAAGTCATGTGAAGGAGTGGGAAGACAGAATGAGAACAAGTAAAAGCTATATATCGTACACATATGTGAGCCTGAATATGTACAGTAAATGCATCATTCTAGCTGCTTTATGGAAGGCAGAGCCTTGGGGTTGGCAGGATGGTCAAAGGAGAATTTACCTGTATCTACACAGCTGTTTTATTTTGTAAGAAGCATGTACTCATGTATAATTTTATCATTTGAACAGTGTTTACCTACTAAAAATAGCTTAGCCAATTTTCTGATGGTCTATTATGCTATTCCACAATAATTCAGGATCAAGTTGATTGCATTCAGATAAGACTTAGCAAAGGCCTTCTGTGAAGGGACAGAGAGCTGATATTTTAGGCTTTGTAGGCCATATGCCTCTTTTGCAACCATTTAGTTAGTTCTGCTGTTGTAAGCAAATTAGTCAGAGAGGATAAACATGGCCATGTTCCAATAAAACTTTATAAAAACAACTGGTGGATCAGATTTGGCCTGTGAGCCATAGTTTGTCAATCCCCAACTTAGACTGTTTATTATATAAATTTTTTTGTTGTTGCTTTTTTCCCACACTGGGAATCAAACTCATGACCTCGCACTTGCCAGGCAGGCGCTATGCCACTGAGCTAAATCCCCAGCCCCTATATAAATATTTTAAGTGTTTCTGTGTGCAGAAAAATAATCTCTCCTATTAACCAACTGATTAAATAAGCTGTAGCCTCTGAGACTTTGCTTAGAATACTTATACTCTGCCCATATCATCTGAGACCCAGCAGTCATCTCGATGGAGAAGATCCAGTCACTGTTGCCTCTGAGTGGTGACCACTGACCTTAAGAGCGGAGTCAGGCAACTACCTATGTGGAAGGGACAGCATGGCAGCTGACTCATAAAGTTAAAGTTCAGTGGCCTCCAGCTGTCTCTGAGCAGCCCCAGTTGAGAGGGGCTTATGAAAATGCTTGTGGCCACCCCTGTGCTGTGCTGAGGGGAGGGGAGGGGAGGGGAGGCCCGGTGGCACCGAGCCCCTGCTGGAGAGGCTCAGCCCTATGGGGCCGTGCCACTCTCACATACAGAGACAGAAGGCTCAGGTGTCCAAAGCCAGCTTAGCCACAGGGCTGTGCCTGCGTGTGACGGGACCCAGAGACCCCTCAGAGGTGAGGCCTGTGCAGCACCAACCCCGCAAGCCCTGGAAGCAGGGCTGAGTGCTCCTGGCTCCTACAGCCCAGCACAGGGGTCTTTCCTGAGTCCAAGGGCACCAGCCTTGTCACAGGGAAGGAACTGCTTGCACATGTGACTCATGGAACACACAGAGACGATGCTTCCACTGTCGTGATTTCTCTAGGCAGCAAGGTCAGGCTAGGGGCACTGACAGCGGGGCTCAGTATGAAGTGGTGGTCTTCTCGCCACTTCGCAACCTGGCAGTGAGGACAGTACCAAGGCCAACACGCTTCACACGCAAGGTACATTTGTGTTCCCTATGCCTCTGGCATGAAGAAGAGAAAGAAAAATCATACCTCGTGGGCAGC